CCCCTCCCCCCGGTGTCGGCGCCTCTGTGAAAATCGCTCCCGTCACTCCATCTGTCGCAGGTCCATCAGTTCGGCTGGAATCGTGCATGCCACCATGTTGTGTACCCGTATGCGTATGGTTCAAAAACTTTGTTCCTGCAGGGTTACAGCCTACTATTAGACATCAAATTGAAGCCCAATTCTTCCTCAACTAGAGGGTCTTTCGTCCGTTTCTCTGTGACTCATAGTTTTTGTTTAATAAATAATCTCCCGAACCCGTGCCTTAGACGATGTTCACAGGTCCGCCCCCTTAAAGGGCCCCTTACGATAAGGAGTGAAATATCCTCGTCGAAACAACGTGTGTGTGCCTGAAAAAGCGAGCAAAGTTGATGTTTGCTGCAGACTTCAAGGAATGCGTGCGTGCAGTGTCCACACCCCCGGTCCAGCGGGTTCCGCCCCGCCCCACCAGTCCCACGACGGGGTGGAGGAGACCACCCCAGAGGGTGGCACGGGAGGGGCGGGACCGAGCCTAACTTACGGCTCTGACACAGCGCGGGCGAGCTAAGGGAGGAGGGGGTGGGAGGCGCGAGCGCATCATGCTGGCACCTCCCCTGTGGGGGTGAGGGTGGGTGAGGGTCTTCTTTGCTCTTTGCACACACACACACACCTCGAGCCACGGTAGATTGACACGCTGACAAAATCCAACAGTATATTACTAGCGTGCCCTGTTTGGTTGCAACTTGCAACAGTGCGTTCATATATTTAGACAGCTCTCAGCTCTACCGACAGGTAACGTTGCCCCCCCCCCTTTTCTTACTCAGTGAATCGTTTCTTTGATGTAGACGTAAGGAGGTATTTTCTATAAATCAAAGAAGCCTTATTAGACTCGAAAAAAGTCTTCTTTGATCGCAAATTAGACATTTCTACGGATCAAAAAAGGCTCTTTGAATTAAAGACAACAGCCCTTGACGTCTATATCAAAGAAATATTGGCTAAGTTTCTTTGTTTCAAAGAAAGGATTCTCTGGGTGCTCGAATTTTTTCGTCCTGATGTTGAATTTTCCGGGATTTTCAGTGCAAGTAAAATCTTTCAAAGAAACATTATTCCCCTTCCTCCTTTCCTTTGCTATTCTGACATTCGTGACGGCGAGGTTCCTTTCTGGGCGGAGCGTGGCACGCCGCGGTCCGTGGGTCCTTCCGCCTCTCCCGGCCTGTAACCTCGTTCATCACGACGATGCCCTCCCACAGGTTCTGGATCGGCCCTTTTAGCACCCGGGGAGTCTGTGGTGACCCAGAGGGTGCGGCGGTCTCACTGTCGCCTTGAATGCAATCACGGAGGCGGGATGCCGCCAGTCCCACTTTGCCGCACCTCAGTGCACTTTACTGCACCTTGTGAAGTGCGGGGCGCCTCCTCGATCAGTGCCCCCCAGTCTACACGGTAAAAAAAGGCATCTTAGAATTCAAGCAAGGTTGCTTGAAAACTGTCTTGAAAACCAAGGAGATCACTTGAAATCCAAGATTTCAATTGCAACGGCTGCTCCCGATGCTTAAGTCTCTGCTGATGGTGCTTGCGAAAACGGAAGGATCGTAAGTGTGTCCCGGGGAGAAGGGGGGGGGGGGGGCTGCTCGAGTTTTTTGGGGTGAGCACCAAAACACCACGTTACGAAAACTTGTTTGATGTTTGCTCAGTGGCAGAAACAGGCCAAAACAACGCGCACACGCTTGCTGTGCTTTCCAACGGTTTTATGATTGCTTTGGGCTTTGGAGCAGCAGGCAGGGTGGGTCCCAGTCCAGTTCCAGTTACAAAGCCTTGCAAACGTCCTTTGCTAACTATACGAATAATTCTTACTTACTCACTTACGTTTTTTTTAAAAGAAAAGGTCGACATTTGACTTACGTTTACATGTATGCCACATATATGTCTGCGAATGTCGGACACATACATTTGGCCATACGTGTCAACCATCGGGCACATAGAGGACCAAACCGTAGGACACATACATGTCCCCCATATATGTCAACTTGTATGTCACCACCTATATCCAAAAACGTTTACGGGCAGCCGACCAAATTTTGGCTGTCTTTGGGAGGATGCAAATTTTTGGCCTCTTTGCTAGAAAAATTTTGGCCTTCTTTTGGGGGATGCCAATTTTTGGCCTCTTTGCTTGCCAAGTTGGCCTTCTTTCAAAAGGAGGTAAACTTTTGGCAAGCATAAAGGCTAAAAATTGGCAGCCTCCAAACGATACCCGACGATATCTTCCTGCGAGAAAGGCTTGGCCGAGCGACCGCTGCAGAAAAAGGCTTGGCCGGCGGGAGCCTGAAGAAAGACTCAGTTGCTGGACTTTTCCCATCTGAGTCTTTCTTAGCAGCCTCCCGCCGGCCAAGCCTTTTTCTGGTGCGGTCGCTCGGCCAAGCCTTTCCCGCAAAAAGGTATCGCCAAAAGACGGCCAAAATTTAGCAATCAAGAAGGACTGCCAACATTTTGGCAAGCCCGGCGACAACGGCGTTAAC